GAAACCCATAACGGAATCCTTTTATTTTTTCAGTATTGCATACCGAAGATTTCGGTATTGGATACCAACAGTTTCGGTATACCAAAAATTTTGGTATTGGACACCAAAAATTTCGTTATTCATTTTTTTGATTTTGATATTCATCAATTTGCTGTTGCAGAGTGGAGAAAGGAAAGAGAACATTGGTGAGGATGAAAAAGGAGGAAGAGGGGTTAGAAGCAAATAAGATTACGAAGAGAATGAGAGGAAAAAACACGATGATATGATATATAATTTTATAGTTGTGAAAAAATTATAAAAATTTATTATAGATTGAAAAAAATTGTATTTTTTTTGTATCCAATGCCAAAATTTTTGGTATACCGAAATTGTTGGCATCCAATACCGAAATTTTCGGTATCCAATTCTGAAAAAATAAAAGCATTCCGTTATTGGTTTCTGTCATGAAAAACAAAAAGAGGAAAAAAAAAGTCCGCTAGTTGCCTTTCAAGTATCGGTTTTCACCGAAATCGGCATTTGCCCACCCCTACAAATGCGTAACAGCCACTAGTCAGACGTGACGTCAATTCTCGTAGTCCGTGGAAATAATTTTCTTCAATTAATGTTGGCCCCTTGTTATACGTAACCTATGACAGAGACATAGCCAACTACGACTTAGCTGCTAATTAAAACCACAAAATAATAATAATAATATATAAAAAGCACCAACATGTTCCACATTTATTGGCGGCAAAAAAAGGCAAATCGGCTTCTGTACTCTTTAATTAGTGGCGAATTTGCCACTCAACCCTAAAACTCTTCCAGGTTGCAAATGAACCCTTATTGGATGGATGATGCCAGCACTTTGGTTAACTTTAACGGACAGCACATTTTGGTAGGGTCCACTGACATGAGATGGCATTCGCTAGCTGGGTCCCATCAAATTACTAAATGTTTTATTGGCCGAAAAAATTACTCAATAAATTGAAAATATGTCAAGTTACAATTTTGCCCATGTCTTCTTCCTCTCTCCCCTTTCCTCCACTCTTCTCCCCCTTCTCTCCCTCCACCATGTGCCATAGCCCTTAATTAGGTCGTACCCGCTGGGCCTGGGCATAAATACTTGAAAAACCATCATTTACACCAACTTTAATACCTTCAGGAGGGGATACATCAAGACTTCTCAATTTCTTTGCAAGTTGCTTTACCGTATTTGGGGAAGATACTGAATCCTTGATAAGAAATCAAAATATGCAGCAAGTGATTACAAAATTTTCTTTAAACCTTTTTTTTTTTTGGCTATAAAGTATCTCGTATTGGTTCCTCTTGGGCCAGTGTGAAGAGAAAGCTCTGAATGCCAAAATAATAAAATGCAACCACTATTTGTATTTAAAAGAAAAGCAGAACAAGAAAAACCTATAAAGTAAATTAATCGACAAACAAAAAATTTCTAAATATGTGGCATTAAATTTTAAAATTCTAAAGCATCAAGCCACTTGGACATGGAAGGCGCCACACATTATTATCTATCTCAGCAGTGGATCCTACCCAAGCAAAAGCTCCGTTAACGTTAACCAAATTGCTGACATCATTTGTCCAATAAGGGTTTTTTTTCAACTATTAGAAGAGTTTGAGGGGTTAAAAGCTTCCGCTTTTAGTTGAGGGGGACTGATTTGTCCACTAGTTGAAGTACGTGTTCATGGGTTGATTTCAGTGGCGGAGCCACAGAGACTTAGGGGGGTGGTGGGCCCTGAGATTTGAAAAAAATATATAATTAATTTATTAATTATTATTATTAAAATTTTAAATATTATATTTTTTATTGTTAAAATATATAAAATAAAA